AGATGGAGAGGAGGGCAGCGCCACCTTGGCCGTGCCGCACCCCCCGTGCTTGCTGCGATGCATCCGGTTGCTGCCTGATGCAGAGCACTCTCCAGTTGGTCTGGCGGCAGCATTGCACCCCTTGTATCACTCACATGTGTGTACAGCTTCTCCACACCGCTGAAGCCAGTCGCCCGCTCGTGGTGCTCCTTGATCACTCGGGGCAGCTCCTCGAGCGGCACCACGGGGCACCACCGCCACTCTCCGCTGCGCTTGACGCAGCGGCACAGGATGTCCTGACCGCCAGCGCCCTTCAGCACCTGGAAGAACTGCAGCACCTTCTTGCTGTAGTTCTTGGTGCCGCCCTGCACTGCCGCCCCCCCTCCCGCACCCCGCCGCCGCCGGCCTGAGGGCGCCTGCTGGTCGCCCTGCTTGATCCGGATGATGCCCTCTACATCTGACTTAGTGAGAAACACATTCTTGGCGCCGTTTTGGCGCCGTTCTAAGGCATAAAGGATGACAGGTTGGTTCATAATTTTAAATTTGCGGCAGCTGCGGGGTGCGGGAGGGGAGAAATAGAAGCCTTAGAGACTCTGAAAGGCGAAGGAAAGGGAGGGATCGCGGGAGAGAGCGTGCCTGATGAGCCAGACGAATCGGGGGAGGTGCCACATCAGCGGGCAACACATTCACCGCCCACAGCGTGGCCGCAGCGGGAGAGCCAAGTCCAACATTTATCACCTGGAGGCCAATCTGGCTTGATCAAATGCAAGCCCACCGCGGCCTGTGAGGCCTGTGAGTCCGCTGGGATTGCCTTGCCCGTGTGCTGATCGGTCCTCCGAGGAGATGGCGGACCGGCAGGCTCAGCATCTGATGGACATGCTGGCTGTGAGCTCCACGCGGGCCTCCCAGCTGCTGGGAGAGGCAGGGGGGGACCTGGACACAGCAATAGCTTTGCACTTCGCCAATCCAGCGGGCACCAGCAGCGCCCCACTATCGCCCAGGCACGCGTGGGAGTCGGGGAGTGCCTGGTATGCGCTGCCTGCCTGTGCCGTGGCCCGCCTGCCAGCCCGCCGCCGCCGCCCTGCCGCCGCCCCGCCCACCCGACGCCGCCAACATGCTGCCTCCTCATCAGTGCAGGTCTGAGCTGCGCGCTCTGCTGGGCGACAGCATCACTCAGCAGCAGGCACAGCGACTGCTGCTGCGTACGGGCAGCGTGGCAGCTGCGGCAGATCTCTATTTCGACAACCCTTCGGCGGCAGGGCCAGCGGACGGCGCTGTTCGCGCCGGCGGTCGCGGCGGCGGTGGCGGCAATGACGCCATCACCATCAGCGACAGCGGAGACCTGGAGGACAGGTGGGCACACCCGGGGAATGGAATGGAGCAGCCGGGAAGTTGCCGAGGGAGGGATTGCACCGACACTCGCCGTTGTCATGATGGTGTGTTTCAACAAGGGGCTGATGAGCCCCGGTGCTTGTGGTTGCAGCGAGGAGGAGGATGAAGAGGACGAGGAGGAAGCGGAGCAGCAGCAGCAGCAGCAGCAGGAGGAGGAGGAGTCGCGCCCCCCGCAGGGCCGCATCAGAACAGGCGGCCGCCGCCGCGGCTCGCATCGCGGCGAGGCGCATCCGCCGGGCCGCGGCGGGGAGCGGACCTCGGCAGGCGCAGCCGGCGCCGCCCCCTCTGCTGCCGGGGCACGGGGCGACCGCGGCGGCCGCGGCCTCGTGCGCAGCCCGCAGCGGGGCGCCGGGTTTGGCAGGGTCGGCGGCCGGGGCGGCGGCGCCGCGGCGGCTGGGGCCATCGCCCAGCTGCTGGCTCAGGTGGTGGGCGGCAGGCTGTTCGGAGGCGGGGAGAGCTCCGATGAGTTGAGCGAGTACAGCCTGGGCAGCTATGGCGGCGAGGAGGAGTCTGAGGAGGAGTCTGAGGATCTGCCAGGTGGCGGCGGGCGCCAGCTGCCACACATGCCTGCCACCCGGCTGCCTGTGCGGTGCCCTGGCAGCCAGCTTGTGCCTTTGCTGAGCGCTTGCCCTGTCCTGGTGGTGCCTGAACCTGCAGCCAGCCCCCGGCTGGGACCCAGGGTCACAGGCTCGCTGCCAGATCTCAACGCTGCAGCGGCAGAGTGGGCGCAGGGCGAGGCGATGCGGCAGCAGGGCGGCGGCGGCAGCGGCGGCGCCGGCCCCTCCGCGGCCGCGGCGGCGCCGGCCAGGCAGCCCATGCGGCCGGGGCTGCTGCCGCTGCCGCAGCTGCGCCGCGAAGGGCGGCTGTTCACAGCGAGCCTGGAGGAAGTGCCGCGCGTGGCCAGGCCGGGGCCGGGGTGCGGCCCGCGCTTCCCGCTGCACCTGGGTGCCGTGCAGGTGCCGCTGGCCGCACTGAATGAGGCCTTGCTCAAGGCGGTGCAGGTGGGGAGAGGGCGGGGCCGCGAGGCCGATGTGGCGATGGTGTGTGTGTGTGTGTGTGTGTGTGTGGCGGCGGGCCCACTGGGGCTGGGTTCCAGCCGCACGGCAGCTGCCTGCTGCCTGCTGCTCCATCCCCTGGGCACCCACCTTGCCCCATTCCCGTCCCCGGCGTGTGCGCAGGGCAAGAGGCACTGGAGCGAGCTGGAGTGGGGAGGCAAGTCCAAGCTGTTCCACAACTTCATAGGGCCGCCCTACCCCGGCTACTTCACCCCCTTCTGGAAGACGGGTGGGTGGGTGTGGCTGCGGCCGGGGCGTCTGTGCCGTCCGTGCTCCCGCTCCGTGCCATCCATGCGCCTGTGCGCCTGCGGGCTGCCGCGCCTGTGCCGCCCGGTGCATGCGGCAGGCGGCAGGTGCCACGTCACTCCTCTTGCCTCGCCACATGCCCGCTCGCCCTGCCTCCCTCATCATAGCCCGCCCCTGCCACCCTGCGCCTGCCCGCCTGCCACGGCCTGCAGCGGACGCGGTCCCGCTGTCTGAGCTGGCTGGCGAGGGCTACCCACCAAACATGCTGGAGCCCTGGGCACGCCTGGCGCTGTACAGGAGCAGCGAGCGGGGGGAGGAGGCGGTGGCGTGTGTGCGGGAGGAACATTCGTGGGTGTCAGGTGGGCCGGCAGGGAGGCTCTGGGTGGGCACCCAGGGGCGCTCAGGCGGTGCCTCTTGTCTCAGCCTTCCGCTTCAGCCGGAAGGCCGCCACCGCCTGCTGCTGGGCGTCACCGCTCTGGATCCCGCTCCCCTTCCACACCCTGAGCGGCCGCCCTGCCTCCTGCTGCAGAGCTGCTGTACTCGCTGTGGGTGCTGGAGACGGCGGGCGTTGTGGAGATACGGTGCCGCCTGGTGGCTGGCCAGCAGCCTGAGGAGCAGCAGCGGGGGCAGCAGCAGCAAGAGCAGGCGCAAGGCCCGGCGCCGCCGCCGCAGCAGGAGCAGGCGGGGCAGCCCGCTGCCGGCCAGCAGCAGGAACAGGCGGCTGAGGAGCACTCGCCTCCTGCGGAGCGGCCGGCTGGTGATGGCGGCAGGGGCCAAGGCCGCAGCAGGAGCAGGGGCCCCTCTCAGCCACCGGCTCCTGCGCCGCCACAGCCCGCAGCAGCGGCAGCAGCAGCAGCAGCAGGGGGTACGAGAGCCCCCAAGCGCGGCGCCAGGGCAGCCCCCGTGCCGGCGGCGGCGGCGCCGACCTCCGAGGCCGCAGGCAGCGCAGGCCCCAGCGGCGGCGGCGGCCAAAGCATGCCGCCGGCCGCGGGTCTGATGCCGCGTGCTGTGCAGCTGGACGTGGTTGTGACTGATGTGGTGCGGCACCAGCTGTGGTGGGATGAGGAGGATGGTGACCTGAGCGAGCACATGGAGCAGGGCAAGGGCGGCGGCAGGCGGGGAGGCGCGCAGGCGAGGCGCCGCCGCACGCTGCTGCTGGCCCTTTCTGCGAACGTCTGCACAGCGACGGCTCGCCAGCTGACGCGCCGCAGCCTGCTGTGCCTCCTCCTCTCCCCCTGCCACCTCCCCTCCTCCCCGACCGTTGCTGTGCCGCCGCTGGGCCCCCTCCACCCCTCCTCTTCCGCCGCCGCAGAAGTCGCGATGGACCAAGGTCGGCGGCGCGCTGGGCAAGGTGGTTGCCGCGCTGCTGCGCTTTGGGCGCGGGCTGGGGCTGGGGCCCGACGCCGACGGGCTGCTCAACCTGGGAGGCGTGGCGCCGCAGGAGTGGCGCCAGGTGGCGGCGGCGCCCAACCGGCGGCGCCTGTTTGACGTCCAGGCGCTGCTGGACTCGGGTGCGTGCGCTGTGGGCTGCGCGCTTCCCCCCGGCCGTGCTTGCCCTGCGGTGCGCTGTGCTGTGTCGGCTGCCCGGGCGGCCTGGCCAGCCCTGCTGGCGCTGCCGGTACGACATGACCCCGCCTCTGCTGTGCCCACCCTGCGCTGGCGCAGTGGCGCACAAGCGCAGCGGCCTGCACGCCATGAAGGCGCCGCGCGGCCTGGCCACCCAGCCCAAGCAGTACCAGCTCACGGGGCTGCAATGGATGCTGGACCGGGAGGCAAAGGTGGGGGGCCGGGGGTGGGGATGAGTGGCGCGAGGAGCAGGTTCAGGGCCAGCTGTGCTCACGGCCAGCTGCCTGGCTCCCCTGCATCACCAGCTGCCTGCTTTGGCGTGATGCGAACTCTGACTCGCCGCACCTCGCCTGCCGCACCTCGCCTGCTCTGGCCCTCACCCGCCGCCGCCCTCCGCCGCGCGCCGGCTGCAGGGCGACGCGCTGGGCCGCGGCCAGCTGCACCTGCACCCCTGCTGGCTGCAGCTGCACACCCAGGACGGCCAGCTCCTGTACATGCACCGCCTGCGCCCCCACGTCCTGTCGCCCAACTTCTACTCCGCGCCCGTCGGCGGCACCTGTGGCGGCTTCCTGGTTGACGAGATGGGGCTGGTGCGTGGCGCCTGCCAGCCGCAGCAGCTCCAGGCTGCCGCACAAGGGCGCCCGGTTATGTTTTTTTCTTTTTTTTTGTTGTCTGCTGCCTGCTCTCTTCCCCGCCTGCCTCGACGGCGCCACTTTTCTGCCGCCGGCGCTGCAGGGCAAGACCCTGCAGACTCTGTCGCTGGTGCTGAGCAACCCCGCGCCCAAGGGGTGGGCAGTCAGTAGGCTGGACGGGCTGCAGGCGACCGCCGACTCCGACCCCGTGCCCATCCGCTGCTCCCTCATCGTGGTGCCCGCCAACCTGCTGGGGCAGGCGAGCGGCTGGGGCCTTGGAAGGAGCCTGGGCGCTTGCTATGACTGCTTCGGTGCAGGCGTCTGCATGCGCACTTGCACACATCCGCAGGTGGAGGGAAGCCCGCCATGAGCAGGACTGAAGTGGACTAGCCCCTGCCGCCGCCTGCCTGCCTGCCTGCCTGCCTGCTGCAGTGGGCGGAGGAGATTGAGCGGCACGTGCAGCCGGGGCAGCTCAAGTGGTGCCGTTATGTGCCCCCCGGCGCCGCCGTCGCCGCCGCCGCAGCGGCCGCCGTGATGCCGGAGGAGGCGGGAGATGGCGGCGCCACGCGGCGCAGCCGGCGGGTGGCCATGGCGGGCGGATCGGTGCGCTGGAGGAGGCCGGGTTGGGTCTAGCAGAGCCGCGGGCCTCGCAGGCACAGCCGCGGATGCCCCGGGCTTGCCCAGGCCTGCCGCTGCCCTCTCCGCCGTGAGCCCGCCGCACCTGCTGCTGCCCCACACCCCCGCCCCGCCCCGCCCCCACCGAGCAGGTGGACCTGGCCCGTGGCGCCCCTGTGCGCCCCATCTGGTGCCGCGCCCCGGACGGCTCCCTGATGGCGGCGCACGAGGCGGATGTGGTGCTGCTGAGCTACGAGCAGCTGCGAGACCAGATGCACGCCACGGGCGGCGGCCACGCCTCGCTCTTCGGCCAGTACGGCTTCTGGCGGGTGGTGCTGGATGAGGCCCAGCTGGTGGCCAACAGCAGCAGCGTGGCGGCGGTCATGGCCAGCAGCCTGTGGCGCAGGCACGCCTGGGTTGTCACCGGCACGCCCATCACCGCCAGGCTGGACGAGATCAAGGGTGGGCTGCAGGCCGCGCCCCGCGCCTGCGCCTCCTGCGTCCACGCGCCCCAGGCGCCGCACGGCCCCGGCCGCGCGACAGCCTCGCCCGCCTCCTCGCACCCCTCGCCGCCGCCCGGCATGCCCCTTGCCCTCCCTCACCCTGCGCCCCTGCACCCGTGCCCCTGTGCCCCGGCCCTCTGCCCCGCCCCCCGCAGGCCTGCTGGAATTCCTGGCCTATGAGCCCTTCCACCACTCCACCGTCTGGCGCGGCCTGCTGCAGCACCTGTACGAGCAGCAGAGCGCGGGCGGCCTGCTCAGCCTGCGCTCCCTGCTGCGCGGCGTCATGCTGCGCCGCTCCAAGGCAGACGTGGGTGAGTGGGTGGGGCGGCGGGGCGCTGGGGGCCAGGGCGTGCACGCGGCGGGTCCCCAAAACGCCGCCCGCCCGCGCGTCTCGGCCCCCTGCACCGCCCTCCCGCTCGGCTCTTTCACCTGCCCACCTGCCTGCTGTTGGCACGCGCGCGCACACACACACACACACACATACAGCACTCTGCCGCCACCCCTCCCCCACCCCGCCGCCTGCCCCTGTGCAGCGCACGAGCTGCAGCTGCCCCCCTGCACGCGGGAGGACAGGTGGGTGGCGCTGTCGCCTGTGGAGCGTCTGTGCTACGAGCAGAGCAAGCGCGCGTTTGTGGATGCCGTCTACCAGCTGGCGCAGCACCAGGGCGCGGCGGCGGCGGTGAGTGGCGCGCCGCCTGGCGGCTGCGAGGTGGGGGCTGGGTGGCTGGCTGGGGCTGGACTGGCTCGAGCGCGTGCAGCCAGCCAGGCAGCCGCTGTATCCCGTGGTCTGGACGCGCCTGCACTGTACCCCCGCCTGCGCCGCGTGCCCTGCAGGCCAGCCGCGGCCGTGTCGGCTCCAAGGTGGTGGGCCGAGCGCAGGCGGCGCTGACGGCGCTGCGGCAGAGCTGCTGCCACCCGCAGGTTTGGGCGCTCACCCCCAAGCCTGCCGCCCAGCCCGCCGGCTGCCCTACCCCCTTCACCTCCCGCCTCCCTGCTGTGGCAGTGCTGGCTGCCTCGAGCCCCCCAGCAGCGCACGCCCTCCTAAGCCCCCGCTGCCCGCCGCTGCCCGCCGGGGCCTCGCCTCCCTCCCTCCCTCCCTCCCTCCCCGCAGATTGTGCGGCGCACCGACGATGTGCTGGGCAAGGAGCGGCGGAGCATGCGGGAGATCATGGCCTCGCTGGTGGTGAAGGCGTATGGGGAGTGGGACCAGGCTGCGCGGCGCCTGCTGGACGCGCGCCTCATTGCGGCGGCCGTGGCGGGCGGCGTGGGCAGCCACCCAGGCGAGACAGGCGGCCGCCACGCATGCGCTGCGCAGATCCCCTCTGTTCATCACACCGCACCCTACCTGGCTGCTTCCTGCCGTCGCGCGGGACAGTGGGGCGTAGTGCTGTTCAGATGGCTGCCTGCCTCGGCCGCCGTGCAGCCGCTGGCCTGCCGCTCGCGCTGCTGTGAGGCTCGCGAGTGTGCCCCTGCCTCCAGCCACCCACCCACCTGCCCGCACGTCCTGCCGGTCCCTGTGTGGCTGCAGAGGAGAGCCTGCACCCGCTGCTGGAGCTCATCCGTGCCAACCAGGCGGCGGCGGGCAGCCCCGACATCCGCCACGCCGCCAGCCACACGCGGGGAGTGCACGGCGAGGTGGATGCGGCGGCACTGCAGGCGGCGGGCGAGGCGGCGGCAGGCGCGGGCCAGCCTGGCACCTCGGCGGCGGCGGCGGCGGCGGCGGCAGTGGCGGGCGCAGGAGCGGCCTCGGGGTCGCGCGCAGGACCTGCTGCTGCGCACCCTTCAGCCAACGACAGCCCGCAGGCGGCGGGTGGCGGCAGCCAGCAGGCGGTGGCAGCGAATGACAAGGGCAAGGCGCCGATGGGAGCGGCGCGTGGCAAGCAGCAGCAGCAGCAGCAGCCGGAGCAGCAGCAGCCGGAGCAGCAGCCGGAGCAGCAGGCCGGTGGGGCGGCGGCGGCAGCTGACACGGAGGCGGGCGATCGCCAGCTGGCGGAGCGGATGCAGGCTGAGGAGGAGGCGGGGCAGCAGGCGCAGGGAAAGGTGGAGAAGCAGCAGACGCAGGTGCGGCGTGGCGGCAGCCCTGTCCTTTCCCCCATGTCCGCTCCGTCCTGCCCCACAGCACACGCCTTCCGCGCCTGACGACAGCAGCGGCTGTGGGTATTGCAGCGCGCGGCTCAGCACCCAACCTCCCACGCTGCCCCTCCCTCTGCCCTGCTGGCCGCTGGTGCCCTGCCTGTGCGCGCAGGAGGAGAAGGATGCGGCGGCGCGGTACCGGTCCTGGAGGAAGCTGGAGCTGGACTGCCAGGAGCTGTACTGCCACATGCTGCGCCAGTGCGCCAGCGGGGCGCGCCCCAAGGGCAGGGCCAAGCTCGCGGCGCCCGCGGCGGCGCCGCCGCCCGCCAAGCGTGCGCGACGGGGCGGCGAGGCGCCTGCCGGCGCGGCATCAGAAGCTGCCGCCGCCGCCAAGAAGCCAGACAGGGCGGCGCTGAGGGTGCAGGTGCGCGGCTGTGCTGTGTGTGTGTGCGTGTGTGTGTGTGCGCGTCTCGCAGACCATGCCACATCATGGCATGCCAGCTCGTGAATGTATGATGCGGGGCCTGGCGTGTGGCCGCCATCGCAAGTCGACACACCCCCGCGCTGCTGCGGTGCCGCCTCCTGCCTGTGGTGCAGCTGGAGGAGCGGCAGGCGGCGCTGGAGTCGCTGCGCCAGGAGCTGCGCCTGCGGGAGGACGGGGTGGCAGACGGCAGGCTGGTGAGCTTGTGGGACGGTGGGGAGGGGAGGGGGCAGGGGGCTGTTAGGTTGGGCGGGGGCACAAGGCCAGCCCCCCGGAGCACAAGGCCGGCCAGGCATGTGCCCGGCGTCGAGCTGCGATCAAAGCCCGCCTTCGTGCCGCCCTGCCCCCGCCCCCGCCGCGCCCCCGCAGATGCGCCGCAGCCGGCGCAGGGCGGGCATTGATGCAGACGACACCGAAGCTGAGGTTCCCATCGACATAGAGGGTGGGTGGGTGGTGGGTGGGTGGGTGTGGTGGTGGCAGAGCCGCTGCCTGCCGCGGCTTGGGAGCCACCGAGGCGCCGCTGCGCCCCGCCGCCGCCCCAGCCAGCATTCGCTGTGCCCCGCCGCCGCCAAAGGCGCGCTCGCGTGCGCACGCCCACCCAGGCATGCCTGCCCCTTGGCCGCCTGCGTGCAGAGGCTGAGGAGCAGCTGCTGAATGCCAAGGTCGTGCTGCGCACATACAACGAGGTGCTGGCCAGGAGGGACCCACACAAGTCAGCCAGGGCGGCGGTGACCACAGCAGGCGCGCAGCGTGGGGCCCGCCCCTGCTGGGGCCGCTGCCGCCTCCCGCTAATGGCCTGGCCGCCACCGCTGCTCCTGCTCCTGCTCCTGCTCCTGCTCCTGCTGCTGCTGCTGCTGCTGCTGCTGCTGCTGCTGCTGCTGGCCCGGCGGTGCCTGGCGGCCTGCTGCCTGGCGCTGCCTGCCGCGCGTGTGCCTGCTGCAGGCAGCGAGGCTGCCGCAGGGCCCCCGCGCCTCCCCCTGCCTCTGCGCCACCCGCCTGCCGCTCCTCCCGCCCCTGCAGAGAAGGAATGCAGCGAGGCGTGGCACCACCTGCGCCACATGATCAACAAAGAGGCCGCACTGCTGGCGGCCGACAAGGGCAAGGCGGCGGCCGGCGAGGAGGAGGCCGGCGGCGGCGTGCAGGGCCCCGCTGCCGAGCAGACTGACCTCACCTCCTGCCCCATCTGCCTGGATGACTTGTCCACCCGTACCATCACCTCCTGCGGCCACCACTACTGCCCTCCCTGCATACGAGAGGTGCTGGCCCAGGGCACGCGCCTGTGCCCCATCTGCCGCACGCCGCTGTGCGAGGCCGACCTGTTTGATGCGGCCAGCGAGGAGGAGGCGGCGCTCAACCGCGCGGCGCAGGCGGCGGCGGCGGCGGGCACCAACGCAGACTACGGCGCCAAGGTGGGCGGCAGCGGCGGCGTGGGCGTGGGTGGGGCGTGCGCTCGTGCGTGTGAAGGCGGGCGCTGCGGTGGTGGATGTGGGATGGCGGATGGTGGACGGGGGTGGATGGGAGGGGCGGCGGCCTGGTAATGTGTGCGTGCGTCTCTTCGGTGCGGTGCGGGCAGGCGGGAGGCAGGCCAGAAACCCGCTCCGCCGCGCTTGACTCCCTGCCGCCGCCGCCGCCGCCGCCGTCCGCAGGTGTCTGCGCTGCTTGCAGAGCTGGCCGCACTGCGTGCGGCAGACCCGGGGGCCAAGGCCGTGGTGCTGTCCTCCTGGGGCCGCCTGCTGCGCCTGGTGGGCGACGCGCTGCGCGCCAACGGCGTGGGCCACGCCACGCTGGCGGGCGCCAGCCCTGGGGAGAGAGAGGCAGCCCTGCACGCTTTCCTGCACGACCCCGCCTGCGCCGTGTTGACGGTGAGCCCGCCCTGCTGCGCCCGCTGCGGCTGCTGCCCCTGATGCTTCGGCGCCTGCTGCGGCTGCGCCCGCTGCTGCTGCTGCTGCTGCTGCGACTGCAGAGCTCGGCTGCCCTGCCTGCGTGCTGCCGCCGTGCGGGTCCCAGGCAGCGGGCGGCGCCCTCGACCCGCAGCTCTGCTGCTGCCGCCAAGCCGCCTCCCCACCGCTGCCGCCTGCCTGCCTGGCCTGCGCCTGCGCCTGCCGCAGGTTGTGATGAGCACAGCGGGCGGCGCCGCGGGCCTGACGCTGACCGCCGCCACCACCGCCTTTTTGCTGGAGCCGTGCCTCAACCCGGGGCTGGAGGCGCAGGCAGCCGCACGCATCTGGCGACTGGGGCAGGTGCGCCCGTGCCGTGTGTGTGTGTGTGTGTTCCCCTAACCCTCGTGATTATGTGTGTGAACGTGGGGGGTTTGCTGCGCCTCCGGGCACAGCCAGCCAGCGGGCCTTGTGGTGGCGTCCGCACGGGCGCTTGCAGGGCGTGGCTGCTTCGTTTCTCACGCCGCCGCCGGCTCGCCCCCTCATCCTGCTGCCCTGCTGCCTGCCTGCTGCCTGCCTGCTGCCCCGCAGACCAGGCCTACGCGTGTGGTGCGGCTGCTGGCTGAGCACAGCGTGGAGTCTGCTGTACTGGAGGTGCAGCGGCGCAAGCTGGAGGGCGGGGAGGTGACGGCGGCGGACTCGCCGCTGGCGGAGCTGGATGCCGGCATGCTGCTCAGCATCTACGAGGCCGTCAAGTGACTGGCTGCCAGCGGCGGCGCCGGCTGCCATGCGTGCCACAATGTGTGGCTGGGCAGCCTTGGAAAAACTTGTAACATGTTTGTGCGCAAGGCAACCATGAGCACGTTGACGGCAAAGTGCTGGTGTGTGCACCGCACGGCACCTGCCAGCGGGCAGGCACCGCGCGGTGCATGCGCGGGCATCGGGGGCGCGGGCATCGGGGGCGCGACCTGGGGGGCGCGGCAGCGCCAGGGCGCCGCGCCGTCACCGCCACTGGCGCCCGCCCGACTGCCGCAGCTTGCGGTCGCCGCCGGCCGCCGCGTTCTCGCCGCCCCGCGCCTCTGCCAGCGCCCGCGCCTCCTCCCGCCCGCTGGCCGCCGCCCGGATGCCGGCGTTGGCGGCCTTGAGCACCCCCGCCAGTGCCCTCTCCGCCTCCCCCCAGCGTGCCTCAATCTCGCCTGCGCGCTCCGCGGCAGCGCCCCGCTCCGCCGCCGCCGCCCGCTCCGCGGCGGCAGCGCTCTGCCGCGCCTCCGCCGACTCCTGGGCCAGCTGCCGGCTGC